TAATCCTATCTAGTTCCCATGGAGATGACACCTAATATAAAATAGATTAATCACAAAAAAGACAGGGTCGGCTACTGAAGTTGCTTAAAGTTGCACCAGGTGCAAGCCATAAATTGTCAACAGGCCTGAAAGCCAAAAGATGTTATACATAGAGATTAACCATTAAAAAGGCCCTAATAGGCACAGAGCCCTTTGTGTAAGGAAGCCCAATTAGAAAATACAAAAAATATTGTTTTAAAAGTGGTTGTTAGATCAACGTTTGATTGATGTTAATGTGCTGAGGTTGTGCAGTGGAAACTATTGTTAATATAGTTAAAGATATAGTAAAAATAAGAGTTTAGCCCTAGTGTAAAAACAATGAGATAATTGTTAATTTTAACCAAGAGTGCTAAACAGGGGCTGCCCCACCAGAGCCGCAGAGTCTTTGTGTGTTAAAGTTTTTAGATAAATTTAGCTGAGAATTTCTGCAAAAAGACTGACTTTTATGTTAACAGGATTGTATTTCTATTATGTTGCGACTTGCTATACCATGAAACTGCCAATTTTCTGTTTTATGCTAACCTCAAGGCCAGAAGATAATGTACAAAAAAACCTATGGGAAAAGACTCTCATAAACAAAAAATATACAGAGCACACCTGGTTTCGTGACAGACAAGCTGATATAATGTTAAACTAAGTCTGTGTGCTTATCTGCCCCTTAGAAATGTACCAACTTAGGGTATAAAGGTGATGGTGAAAAATAAAGCAACTGCCAGACTCTGCCGCATATCCTGGTCTGGTCTCTTTCTCTCTCTCTCTCTTTCCCTAGCCGACTTGGCCCCATCAAGGCCAGTCCTATGTGTCTCTCTCTCGCCGACACCGTTCATCCTGAGGGTTCCCCTGGATCCTGCTGGGGCTGGACCCCGGCACCCCATTACTCCAAGCTGATGGAAAACTTAATCTGTGTCTTGATTAGGGCTCAACACATCACACCTAGGATTGCATGAAGGTTCCAGGGGTCACACAGTCCAGTACTCTTGGAGAAGGCCCTCAAGTCTTCACTCAGTGTCGGTTACTGCTAATATGCTCCTTTCCCCAGCTTGTTCATCCTTTGCGGGTGAGCTGTTTTGCCAACTGAATACCAAACTTGGGCATGGGATCTTGGTGATGGGTGGTATCTCTGATGCAGTCCTACTAAGTCCATTCCCAACTAAGGTCTTGCAACCTCCTTCACCCATTAAGTTTTCAATATTCCCAGAAGTAGCAACCCCCTTCCTCTGTTATTCCCATTGATTACCACTCACTCAACCAACCTCAAAAGCCTCTAACCTCTCTCCACTGTGGAAGCGAGAAGTACCTCAATGTGCACAGGTGTTTTGGGTACAAAGGGAACTTTTATTCAGTCCAGGGGCAAGGGAAGTCCCATATTGTGTGCCGAGCAATAAGGGGTAGGATCCTATCATTCTGCCATTTTCCTACAACACTGAGAACAAAACAAATTATTATCTTAATATCTCAGCAAATCACCTCACCACATATGCACTGTCGCATGAGATCTTTACAACCACTCCATAGGTAATTCTCATTTTCCATCCTGAAGCTTGGATGAGTTTAAAAACTTGTTTCCAGTCAACTGTGTAGGAGTTATGAGACACTGTGCACTGAACTCTGGAGCAACGAGGGCGTGGTATTATCGTAGTTCCTATCAAAATGCCTTGTTCTTGGTCATATGTCAGTGGCAGTCACCAGACTCAACGTCAGAAACTTTACACGAAGGCGAAAACTCTGTGTGCGCCTCGGAGAGAGGGCTGGATTCCGTTAAACTTCACTATAGCCCTATCTCAATTTTACAAATGAGACTTTGAGGCCGAAGGTGGAAGTGACTTGCCTATGGCCACAAAGCCAAGATCAGGTTTGTTGGGTCTCAGTATGGTGTTCTTTCCATCATACCAAGCTGAAGAGGCCTGCGAACAGCTCACAGCCTCGCTCCCAGACAAACTCCAAAATATGACCACTTCAACTTCCGTACTCGCCAAGGAAAATTAAACTGGTACTTGTATCTGAGACTCCACCCAAGTAGCCTCCGATTCCTACACAGCGCGCATGCGTCAGGCTGCTCCGCCCCAGCCCCTTCACCCCTCCGGCTTCCCGCCTCTCCCCGCCCATTTCCCGCCCGGATGTCAGCCTAGTTTTGCCGGATGTTGTTGTGAGTCTGGGAGACACGTGAGGCGCTGCTACGTCATCACAGGCACGCGCAGGAAACATGGCGGCGGCGGGTGTTGTGAGCGGGAAGGTAAGTAACGGCCCCGGGAGGACACTCCTGTTTTTCTCCGGGTAGGGCTGCTTTTGCTGCTTGGAGGCCGGCTTGGGAGGGATGCGAGGGCCTTTCTGTATCCGGAACAACGTGTAGAGGATGTAGGAGAAGATGCCTGGTTGTCAGCTGTTTTCTCGAGAATGCCGGCTCAGCCCGGGAATTGAGAGACCCGGCTCCTACTCCAAGACTAGCTAGGCCTTGGCGCTGTTTGGTCCGCTCTTCCCCAGGGCGAGGGGCTTTTATCGGTATTTCCTTTTCTGAGGCAGGTGGTTCCCCTATTCTGTTTTTTTTCTGGCTCGATTTTCTCTTGATTGTCGTTCTTTCTGTCACTCTAAGGACTCCAGGAATTTTTCTGTCTTCCTTTGAGGCGTCACTCTGATTCGCCTCTGCCTTCCTCTGCTTCACTCTGGTAAGGCGTCTTTGTCCTGTTCGGGAGGAGCTAAAAACAGGTGCTTTGCAGCTGTGCACTTAGAGGAGCGCATTGGATCCATTTTACCAGATTGCCGAGGTGATGGTGATGGTGAGCAGTAGGGATGTTTCCTCTCAGGGAGCTGGAGATTTACAACATCCCACGCTTGTCTAAGAAGGCGTTAGTTACGGTATTTATTTCTGAGGCAAAGCTGTGATGTTCCCATGGGAGACTCTGGTGACGTTTTACGGAGTTGGTCATTGACCGCCTCGTTTTTCGTTAGGAATTAGGATTAGGCGCGGAGGATATTTCATCGCCTAGTGCTTATTCATGTTCCAAGGGAACGTCTTAATGCCTGTTAGTACTACCGTGGCATACTACTGGCAACATTTCCAGTTGGAGGAGTATTTCGTAAACAGTTGGGTGCGGTAATGACTCATCTCATACCAAGGACTGTTTACTTTCCGCGGATAGCTTCCTCCGTTCCTTAATTTCACTCTTTCTCTTTACGCCGCCCTCTGCATCCCATTTTGAATTGTGTGACAGCGTTTGTGCTCTAGTGTAGGAACTACTAGCCAGAATAACACAATACTTTTACTCTGAATTGTGACCTTGCGAAATTGAGCAAGCATGACTTCTCTGTCCTTCAAGGTCTTTATCTCCAGAATGGATGTGGTGCTAGTCATTATTTCTTGTATTGGAGTTAAGATTATATGAAATGATATAAGCGTTAAGAAAGTACGTCCTTCTGCATACTGAATATTTTAAATGATGGTAATCGTTTTCGAATTTTCTCGGTCTTTGGTTGTCTTGTCTGTTTTAGTCTTTAGGATGGGTGCTGATCTTCTCTTTCACTCATTACATATAGTAAGATTTTCTATCTGGAGTGATCCAATCTAGGGTTTTCCAAGAAGGGATCCTTTCTATTTGAACTACAGTTCGCTCTTTCAGGTGTGGATTGATTTTGATGGAACCTTTGAGATGATGAAGCGGAGTTGTGAAATAGGACTTTTTTCACCCTTTCCTTCCAGGCACTCAATACCTTTCATAACCTGACTACGTCTTTTATTTAACTCTACTTCTCCACCGCATTTATTCTCACACGTTGCAAACTTAAACCTATTCTCATCGCTGCACCTAAATTATTTTTTCATGCCAAAGGCTGCCCCTCTTTCAGATAATTCTGTTGTGACCAGTGAAACCTGCTTACTCCTTCCTCAGCAAGTTCAGATCTAGTTAATGGCGTCATCATTTACTTGGTTGCATGTAAAACAAACTTGGAGATGTCCATTTCTGTAACAGCATTTAATCAATAAGATGGTAGGACTGATCAGATCCTACTAGTTTTACCTTAAAGAGATTTCTTAAGTTTGCTGCATCCTCTTCATTCTCAGCGCTTAGTTCATTCAGACATTTAGTCTTGAGTTCTCTGCAGATTTTTCTTCTTTTCTACAGTCTCTTTGCCCAGAATCTCCTCTCTACACAACCACTAGTTATTTTCTAGTGCACAAGTGTGATTGTCTCTTGTTTTAAAAAAACAAACAGAAAAGTCTTCATTTTGTTATTGTCACCATTAAAATAATACTCAAGGCTGGTTAACATGGCATTAAAAATCTGTGTTGACTTTCTGGCTTTATCTTATGCTTTTCTACTTCTCAGTCTTGTTTCTTTGGGAAAAGGGAGATAGGAAAGAAAACACACACGTATATTTGTGAAAGAGTGTGTTTATGTGTCTCTGTATTTATTTATTCCCCACCCCCACCCCAAAGGTTCAGCTAAGAACTGTCTAATTAGAAACCTAGGGCAGTGAATGTTAACCAAGACTTTTAGGAATCATGTGTGGTACTTTTAAAACTATGGATGCTGGGTCACAGCCCAATTCTATTGATTAGAACCTCCTGGTGTTGAGATCTAGGATGTAGAGTAACTTTCCTACTGAGTCTACTTTCTTGAAACTTTGATTCTATGAAGTCATGTGGTGAGGAAGTTAATCTCTGTCATATGGAGAAGAGTGTAAGATAACAGCTAAGAGCATGGACTCTGGAGACCCAAGCCAGTTTCAAAAACTAACTTCACACTAGTGACGTCAGTCAAATTACTTAATGTCTCTTTGTTTCAGTTTCCTTATCTGTAATACAGTAATGATAATAGTGTCTACTTCATGGGATTTTTAGGATTGATAAGGAAATGTATTAGAACAAAGCCTGGCATGTAGTGTGTAGATCTTGTGTAGGTGTTACTGATTTCCCTGCAAGTCAGTGGTTAAGTATGGTAGAATTTTAAAGGTTTAGAATATGGTTTTTGGTATGAGGGTGAAATTCATTTTTGAATTTCAGTTCAGTTGCTCAGTTTTGTCCGACTCTTTGTGACCCCATGGACTGCAGCACGCCTGGCTTCCCTGTCCATCACCAACTCTTGGGGCTTGCTCAAACTCATGTCCATCAAGTTAATCATGCCATCCAACCATCTCATCCTCTGTTGTCCCCTTCTCCTCCTGCCTTCAGTCTTGCCCAGCATCAGGGTCTTTTCCAGTAAGTCAGTTCTTCGCATCAGGTGGCCAAAGTATTGGAGTTTCAGCTTCAGCATCAGTCCTTCAAATGAATATTCAGGACTGATTTCCTTTAGGATTGACTGGTTGGATCTCCTTGAAGTCCAAGGGACTCTCAAGAGTCTTTTCTAGCACCACAGTTCAAAAGCATCAATTCTTCAGTGCTCAGCTTTCTTTATGGTCCAACTCTCACATCCGTACATGACTACTGGAAAAACCATGGCTTTGACTAGACAGACATTTGTTTGCAAAGTAATGTCTCTGCTTTTTAATATGCTGTCTAGGTTGGTTATAACTTTCCTTCCAAGGAGCGAGAGTCTTAATTTCATGGCTGCAGTCACCATCTGCAGTGATTTTGGAGCCCAAGAAAATAAAATCTGTTACTGTTTCCACTGTTTCCCCATCTGTTTGCCATGAAGTGATGGGACGGGATGCCATGATCTAAGTTTTTTGAATGTTGAGTTTTAAGTTCTAATTCTCTGTGTTTTTCTAGAATTTGAAAAATACCTTGTTTTAGAAGTCACAGGGAATTCTCTGGGGGTCGAATGGTTAGAACTCTGTGCTTCCTTTGCTGGGGAACTAGGATTCTGCATGCTGCATGGTGTGGCCAACCCCCCTCCAAAGTCATGTAGTTTTGATGAATGAGAAATCGTCCCAGTAGGGCGGTGGTGAAGGAGACAGAGCCTGACTGCTGGGGGTCAGAACCAAGCTCCACCACTGTATAGCTGTGTTACTTTGGGCAGATGTCTGAACTTTCTGTGCACCAGTTTTCTCATTTGAGAAATGGGAGCTAATGATGTAGGATGGGAGCTAATGATTATTTTCCATCATCGGGTTGTGGAGAGGATTGAATGAGTTAATATTTACAGAGCATTTAGAATAGTGCCTGGTATCAGATAAGTGCTTAATAAATGTTAATTGCTGTTATTGTTGAGGATTTTTCAGACTGTCTTAAAGTTGTAAGGTTATTATTTGTTTGGAAGTAGTTGAATATTTGTTTTTTGCTGCCATTTTCTACAGAGATTAAAGCTGCCCCCAAATACTAAAGCACTATAGTTAATGTAAAATAAATTGGAGGGAAAAAAGGCAAAAGGAAAGTAAATAATTGACATATCACTATATAAGCTTAAGGTGCACAGCCTGATGGTTTGATTTATATGTATAGTGAGATGATGACCATAGTAGGTTCAGCTAAATTCTCATATAGATCCTTCTATATGCGGATAGATCTTCTCATGTAGATCGTCTTGTGAATTTTTAGGGGAGAAATAGGGCCACTCCCTGCAAAAGCTGTCCTGCTTTAGGATAATTAATGGAATAAGTTGACATCATAAAGGAGGCAGGAGAAAAGAGATAGTTAGAAGTAGGTTTTGGCCTTTATACCCAGTGCCTATGAGGGTTGCAGTTTCCTTTTATTCATTTACAGAATATTTATTAAACACCTGATTTTTTCCAGGCACTATTCTAGGCATTAGGGATACATTAGATAGTCCTTACCTTGGAAGTTACAGATTTCAGTTCTTCAGAAGGAAAATATTCACTAAAATCCACCCCCTTATCTTGTTTAAATAAATTCAGTGGGTTTCAGATTTTTGAAGTGGTGCTGTTAATAGTGACGTTTGTTTTCATGAGGCTTGTAGACTGGACTCAGCCTCATGAGCACAGGCCTGAAATGGTTCCCCTGTACCTGGCATAGTGCTGCCAAATAGGATGTATTCACTGAGGAGGAAACAGCAAGAAAATAGGAAAAAAATACAAATGAAGGGGGACTAGAGGAAGAGTGATGGGTTCACTGAAAGCACTCTTGTTTTGGAGTTGAAAAGTTAGTATATTTACATTTCTCTCTAGGCCTGTGTTTTTTACTGTTAGAATTTGGTTCTGTTGAAAATAGCTTGAAACAATTGGGAAATCACCTGTTGTTTTTTTTCCCTCCCCCGGGTTTGTTTGTTTGTTTTTTTAGTGGTTTTCTTAGTAAGAATTTATTTTGTAGCTTAAATTTGGCCCTTTCCAGTTCCTTTAGAT